CTCTCTCTCTCTCTCCCTTGTCACCTCTGTGTGTCTTTGTCTGTGCACAGTGTGTTTTTACTGTCACAAAGGCACATTTTCAGAGCCCTCCTCCTGTGGTGACGGACACCCTGAAGGTCCCAGTGATGGGACTGGCCTTTTCACATCAAGTGAGTTGTCAATAGAATGTGCTGTACGTGGCCAGGGGTGGTTGTAGCGTGACAGAACAAGTGCAGCAAAGCCCAATTTTGACCATGTGGAGCATGTGTTGTGCATGGGAAAGGTTGGTGAACCCAAAATGGACCAGGCACATGATTGAGACTGGCTGCTTAAATGCTTTGGCTCATGAAGGTCTCCCAAAGACTGGACAAGCACCTCTAAATAAACAACAGCTACTGGAAGGCTTGTTAGTGGAAGACAGCAGCAGTGAGGCACAGTGCTGAGTGTTCTAACAGCCAGTGTCCCCAGACCCTGCACAGTTGATAGTGCTGCATTTGGCTTAACTAGCCTCGTGCAAGTGAGAGTGCTGTTCATCATTCAGACCTCTAAATTATGTCACACAGAGCTCTGACAGAGGTATTCCTCTTGAGGTCAAGCAAGCTAAAACAGGAGAGGTTTTAATTTGACTAGCTAGATGTCTGCCTGGGGTGTGTGAGGAACTCCTCCTGAGTTTCCCTGCTTCCAGCACCTCATTCCTAAAGCAATCTCCCAAGGTTTAGCTTCCCAGATCTCTCTGTCTAGCACACTTATGGGACTCTGTGTCCTTTGGCTGAAGCTATTTGAACAGGCCTTGAAGATCAGCTGGTTTCACGTGCCCTGGGAACGGGTTCAAACAGTTGACAATGCAATTGCTTTGGGGAAAAAATAGTAAATATTAGCTTTTTAAGTTGCTGATGGCATTCATGCTTTTTCCAGTATGTGGAAGAGGCCTGTAGAGCAGAGCTTCCCTGGGGCTGGATGTCAGTCACACCTTGCACAGCCTCCTCCTGTGCATGTAGGAAACCAGTCCTGTTTTCCTGTCAGGGCCCAGACTTAGTCCCCTGCAGTAAGAACTTTTCAGAGTAATAACCTTCATTGCCAACTCCAGTGAAACTCTAGCATCCTTCTGCCAGCCTGAAATGCTGTGCCTCTGACTTCTCCTGTTCCTTCTTTGGTGAACAGTGATTATTCAGAGCGTGGGGCATTCCCCTTCCCCTCCTCTCTCCTTTCCCTTTGCCCTCCTTGTTTTTTTCTCTTCTTTCTCAGCTTTCCAGCTCTCGTCTTTCCTATCAGCCTGCTGCCCTGGGAGTTGGCTCAGCTGACATGGGGTATCCTGTGCTCTTTGCTGGTGGCTTGAATGCTGCACACCCACACCAGGTACTTGTAGAGGGTAGAACAAGCAGGGCTGGTATTGCAACCATTTGTTTTGCTTGTACCTCTGAGGAAGGCCTTGAAGTTAGTGCATGCATTGGTGTCCTGTCTGTCAGGAAGAGTGTAAGGTAAACAGAGAGAGGGCAGAGCCTGGTGTCCTGTCTGTCAGGAAGGAGAAGAGTGTAAGGTAAACAGAGAGAGGGCAGAGCTTGCACAGGAGCTGGGAACTGGCTCCTCAGCATCCCTGACTTTACTGGGATAGGGGTCACATGGAAAAAGACACCAAGAGACCAGGCATCAGACCTATTTACCTGCACCAGCAGGTCACTGATTCCACACTGTGGCTGTCTTACAGAGCTGCTCCCCCTGTAGCTGTCTGAGCACAGCCCAGACATAGGACACACTGACAGCCCGTGTTGGCATATTTGCATCCATCCATCCCACAGAGAAGCAAAGGTGCCAGGAGTCCTTTAGTGAATACAAGAGTATTTCAGTTGGAAGGGACCTACAGTCCAGTCTAGTCCAGCTGCCTGACCTTGTACTTGACATGTCTCTCAGCCTCACAGAGGCTAGAGCCCAGGCATTTATTCTCAAAGCCCCACAACTTAGGGTCAGTATGATGGAATCTGCTCTAGGCTGCACTGATTTTGAGATCTCTGACTTTTTGACTGCTTCTTTCCATCTCAGTTGATTGGCCCAGGCAAAGAGGGGGGAGTTCCCCCAATTCCTAGCCAGCCAGCACATGGCACTCAAGCTGACCAAGAGAGGATGTGCACCCCACTGGATGGAGTCCACTACCCAGCAGCTACTCCTTCTAGTAGGTATGTTGGATTTAGATGGTCCACCACTTGTGCTAGCCCATTTATAATCCCATTAAGATAAAATGCTTTGTTTCCCTCTTTTTATCTATTGTTTGTAATATAACTATTGTCTTTCCATCCCCCAAAACTTCTCTTATGTCAACTTTGTTAGCAATTTTATCTTTTAAAAGTCTCTACTGTTTTTACTGACTGTAAAACAAGATGAAGGAAGTTCAGAAGCAAGCCTTAAATTCTCCAGAGACTTCATGTGAATTGTTAACCAAAGCCAGTTGTAGTTACCACAGATCTCTTCACTATTTAATTAAGAAACTTTGGGCACAAAGTGACTTAAAAGGAAACAATGCAACCTAAAACTCCTAGATCATCACCTTCTCAGCTAATTAAATCCTTTTCTTTGGTCGCCATATTTATTTCTTGTGAAGCCTCTTTTGGAGTCACACAGTTCTGAGTCAAGTACCTTAAGCAGAGATTTTGCTATGAGGAAACCAAAAATTCTAGTTGCACTGGCATTTTCCTGGGTGTGCTGTCTAAGTAGTCCTCTGGTTACAAGACTCAACTGTTTTGTTTACTTTTGTTCAATGTTCTGAATACTTGTGGTAGGAAAAAAAAGTCATAGAAATAACTAATAGCCATGCAGGGAATTAATCATAGTGGCAGTGGCTGTTGTGATGCTGCTGCTGTAACCTGACTGACAGGTACAATTCTAGTCCTTGCCCCCACCTCCTGCCAGATCTGTGAGCACTATATTACTGAAAAAATAATAGTGATGAACAGGAATTGCTCTGAACAGGCACATTTTGAAGTTAAAAGTTCACCTCCAAAATGAAAATCCTCTTTCTGTTGGCAGGAGCTTTTCAGCTAAATAGTTTTCATCCATGTTTAAACAAAAATCTGATTCCCCCAATGTCCTGCTCCCCTTTTGTGCTTGTAACTAAGGAGGAAGGTGTGGGACAAGGACAGAGGTTTCTGTTGTCTTTCCTCCAATATGAGGAATAAACCCAGAAGAATGAAGGAGTCTGGTAAAGTGTGTGGTTTGTGTGTATAGTCACTGATGAGTCTGTTTTCCTCCCCCAGTGAGGACACAGAAACAGTATCCAACAGCAGTGAAGGGAAGTGTGGCTCCCCACATGACCTTCTGGAGACCATCTTTATCAGGAAGGTGGGAGCTTTTGTCAACAAACCCATTAACCAGGTAACCAGCAGCAGATCTTCTTGGAGGGCACCATCATCCTCTGCTTCTCCTTTCTCTTCCTACACAGAGAATCAGAAAGCATCCCAATGCCAGGGCAACCCTGGATACTGAGAGAGCAATTTCCTGCCTGCTGCATTTCCTTACTAGGTCTTGTCATAGGCTTGTCTTTCATAAAATCCCATTGGGATGTGACAGCCATTGAATTTCCCCATTTTCCCAGCACCCTATTTGAATATGGAAGGCTTGCCACTCCTCTTGGGTCTCACAGTGACCTGCCTTGCTATCAAGCCTCCCTTCCTTGAAGGGACATGAGGCAGACCAGTTCCTCACTAATGAGCAAGCACTGAAGCTGAGCTAGGGCAGCTTAGAGACCTGCCCAATCCCTAGGGCTGCTCTTCTAGGCCTTTTGGGTGGACCAAGGGGAGTTGTTTGAGTTGGCAGCAGTTTGTTAACCCTTGCCTGTATTATACAAGATGGATGTAAGCAATCCCACCTCAGGGTATGTATCTGCATTAGGTCAGCTGAGTGCAATCTCTATTTTATGCCTTTTAAATGAGGTTGTCAGCCTCCTGGCCTTTAACTGCTGCTGGAATTTTTAGCAGGCCTGACAGAGACTTTCAGTATCCTTTTCTGTGCTGTGTAAGCAGAGCATCTTAGTGAAATTCTGTTTGCTGAATCTCCTTAGGTGACCATGGCCAACTTAGACATTCCTTTTGCCATGTTTGCTCCCAAGAATGTTGAGCTGGAAGATAACGACCCCATGGTAAGCCTCTCCTGGAGGTATAATATGTCTCTTCCCAGCATCCCTTATGCCACATCCATGCTATTCCCTACCTTGAATACACTCTTTTTTTGAGCACAGAATTAGTTGTGCAGATTTGTTGGGTTTCATGAAGTCTCCTGTGTTGAGCCTTGGGCTCTGCAGACAAGCCAGTAACAGTGTGTGTTTGCTGTCCCTGCTGTAGCATGTGCTTATTGTCCAACATCCTGACTGCCCCTGGATGTGGCCATGAGGTCAGTGCTCACTGTCTTTGATTCCTTGGGCAGGTTAATCCTCCTGACTCCCCAGAGACTGACTCTCCTCTGCAGGGCAGCTTACACTCGGAGGGCTCCAGCGGCAGCAGCACAGGCAACACCCACGATGACTTTGTTATGATTGACTTTGTAAGTGCCTTATCACTGCTCTCCCCTAAAATCTGCAGCTGAGGTGGCCTTCAGGTGCTGGGACAACCACAAATGATCTGAGTCCTTTTCAGAGGGGCTGGGATAGACCCCTGAATCACAGTTCTGACCTAGAGCGTGGCAGTCCCCAAACTGCAAAGACACTGATAGGCTTGGAACCAACAGCTACAAGTGAAATACTCTTTCAGTTTCCTATCAACGTGTGGGTTTGGCATCCTCTCTGTAATGCCTAAAGCAGCCAGATTCCAAGGACATGCTCCCTTCCAAGTGCTCGGGCAAGCACAGATCTTGGCTGTCCTTCAGTTATTTCATTTGCATTATTGCAGCAACAGTTGTGATGCCAAGGTGTTAACTGAAAGCAGATAATGACTTGACCTGAAATGATGACAAAAGGGAAGCCAATGCCTCTGAAAAGGAATTAACAGAGGTCTCTTTGATTCTAGAAACCAGCATTTTCAAAAGATGACATTCTTCCAATGGACCTGGGGACGTTTTACCGGGAGTTTCAGAACCCCCCTCAGCTCAGCAGCCTCTCCATTGACATTGGAGCACAGTCTATGGCAGAGGATTTGGTATGGAACCCTGACATTTCTATCTGTAGTCATCACATGTACTTTTATAATGCTCTCTCTATTCCTAGCTTGAAAAAAGTCACATATTTTCATAGAATACTTTGGGTTGGAAGGGACCTTTAAAGGTCATCTAGCCCAGCTCCCCTGCAGTGAGCAGGGACAGCTTTAACTAGAGGAGGTTGCTCAGAGCCCTGGCCAACCTGACCCTGAATATTTCCAGGGATGGGGCATCAACCATCTCTCTGTCTCACCACCTTCAGTGTAAAAAAACTTCTTCCTTATATCTAGTCTAAATCTCCTCTTTTAGTTTCAAACCATCACCCCTTGTTCTGTCACAACAGGCCCTGCTACAAAGATCATCCCCATCTTTCTTATAGACCCCTTTAGGTATTGAAAGGCCACAATAAGGTGTCACCAGAGCCACCTTTTCTCCAGGCTGAAAAAGCCCAACTGTCTCAGCCATTCCTCACAGCAGAGCTGTTCCAGCCCTCTGATTGTTTTTCAGCCCTCCTCTAGACCCACTGCAACAGGTCCATGTCTTTCCTGTGCTCAGAGGACAGACCCTGCCCAAAGCAAGCCCCACACTAAAATGTTCCAGGAAAATGCAGATTTGTTTGTGGCAACCTGAGCCTCCAAAAGAGGCATTTACCTTTGAGCTGAAACCTGCTGCCACACGCTTGCTGTGACTGTCACTGAAACACTGTCCCAAAACCAATCCAGTCTGGTGGCAAACTGAGCTTGATCTTGCAGCCTGAGCAGCAGAGATGAAATCCTTGTGTGGGTGGCTGGGGAAAAGGAATGCCCCAGGCTGAGAGCTGCCAGTGCCTGCAGGAAGGCAGCGAGGGGAGCAGGTGACTGTGCTGCAGAGGGTGGCAGGAATTGCACAAGGGGAGGCCCCAGTGCACCTGCTGTTCCTGCAGAGCAAACATGCTCTGGGCAGGGTGCCCTTCTCAGGGTCACTCCCCGGAGGCTGCCAGAGGAATTGGTTTTGTGCCCATGGGGAGGGTACCCCAGAGAGGTGGAGAGGGGTTGTGTGACTCAGGGATGGGATTTTTACCTTGGAGTGTGGTGTTTAAAGCTTCCTGCTCTGAATGAGCCCTGATCTGCACCTTTCTTTACCCTTCCAGGACTCATTACCAGAGAAGCTGGCAGTCCACGAGAAAAATGTCAAAGAGTTTGATGCCTTTGTGGAAACCTTGCAGTGAAGCCATTTTCCAGTTTTGCTGCAGCAGTTCTTCCTTCTCAAGGCATCCTGGAGAATGACATCAACGAGTCTGTCTACCACCCCTGCTCTGCCTTGTGTCTCACTTTGACTAGTTCCTTCCATCCAGTGAGCTTTCCTTGGTTGCTCTCTTCAACAGCAGATACAGTTCATCTTCTGATTTTCCTCAGCTATACCACAACATAGTTCTGGACTTTTTTCCCCTGCTCACAGTGAGGTTTGAATTTAAGACTTCAGCAGGGATACAGGAAGTCAAACTCCAACATATGAAACTATTTTCTCTTCAATCTCTGTTCTGTGTGGAGGGGCTTTGTGAGAAGCTGCCATATGCTTCCTCCAGAGGTCCTATGGTGTGAGTTCCCTAGGTGTAGCTTCTTGCTAACAGACTTTCTCCTCCAGTCTCTGATCCTGTTAGAGCATAGAAGGTTTTGGCTCATTTCCAGGGTCTGTGACTTCAGCAGATTCAATAATTCTAAGTCCAGAACCTCCATTCCACAGAACGGGGCATTTCATCCTGACTTCACTGGGAGTGCCTGGAGCCTGGGGAGAGACATCAGCTTTTTGGGACCTGTGTAATGCAAGTTAGCTTGGGTTTCCTGCTGCTGAGGAACTGGGGCTCTACAGACATGCTTTGTGTGAGGCCTTCTGCTGCTCTGGCTGATAAGGAGGAGTGAAACCACAGGAGTGCTTTCCACATTTCCTTGCTGAGTGTGCTGCCACTCAGCCATGCTGAGTTCACCAGGGTTGACTCCTGGCAAACCTGCACGTGATGATGCTGAATTCATAGGCTCTGCTTCCAAAATGTAACTGTAAATACTAGGAATCCTATTTCTTTAGGGTTATGTAACTAGGAGTCTTAGCCCAAGATTTTTTTTTTTTCCCCCCTCTAACCCTTGCAAACCTTCCTGCTTTATGGTTAATAGATGATCTTGAGAATCAAGAAATATTTATTGCTTTTAAAGAAACCTATATTTAAAAGATGTTCAGTTTTTCATGGAGTTAGTGCAGGTCATTCTGCCCTGGATCACTGCAGACAGCAAGTGTGCCATGGAACCTTGGCCAGTGAGACTGGTCTCTCTTTGCAGAAAAATATCCAAGATATTTATTTTCTAAGACTTCATTATTCTAATCTAATACTCTTGTTTTGGGGACTATGTGTCCATTACATCCAATCAGGGCCCACTGATAGAATGAAATGCACACATCAGTGTTGTGGGGTGGCAGGGACATGGTAAAAAGCTGCATTCTGATAGGCACAAATGAATTTGCAGTGTTCTCCAGCCATTCAGAAAGCAGCTTCTTTCAAGAAGCACATTCTGGGGGAGCTTATGGTACTTTTTAATCAGCCAGCTTTTGATGAGCTGAAATTCTATTTTTGTAATGATCTGGCTATCAGCAGTGTGACTGTGGCTGATTTGGCTGCTGCATCTTTGCCCAACATAAGGATGGGAGGAGAAACAGTGACACTAAAACAGAAATAAGGTAGGTCTTGTGGCTCTATCTCCTCCTCCCACATGACTAGAGTGAGGAACTGCAAGACCTCTGACTGTTCTAAAATGTTTTTTTCTTGGTTTTTTTTCCCTTCTTTCTCCAGAAGTGGGGTTGTTCCCTTAGAAAGGCTGAGTAACCAGCCTTCTAGGTAGTGCCCTGTGGCACCTTCTTCAGCTTAGCTGCATTTTTAATTGAAAGACAGGGCTAGTAGCTCATGGGGCAACCCCACCTCCTCTCTAGAACACTATTTCTGTGCCAGTGCTAGAGCAAGGAACCCAGTTCAAATGGAGCAACACAATGCTTTGAACTTACTTGACTAGCTTGTTTCCTGAGCCATGTGTTCAGTGGGAGGCTACAGAAGCCCTAAAACCCTAGGTAAGAGATTTATTGAAGGCAAGCTACCCACCAGAACCTTTTTAGCTTACTCAACAGCTCACACAGAAATGGTTTAGTCCTTGCAAAGCAAGATGCACAGACATTTAAGAAAGCTTCCAAGATAAACAACTCACAAGAGGGCTTCAGTTATATGGGCTTTACAAATACTTGATTCCCCCAGCCAGAGCCACCTTGTTTTACAGGTGGAAAGGGGTGCAGGAATACAGGGAATGAACAGATCAGCTGGCTCACCTCTGCTTAGGAAGCTGGTCTCTGCCACCCTGTAGAAAGTAGCTCACAGATAGGTGGTTGCAGGTCTTACACAGGCTCTGCTTGGGAGGGTGACAGGATCTGGGCTCCAGAGCAGCAGGGATGGGGTGAAGTGCTGGTTCCCACTCTTCATGGAGGTGAGTAGACTAGGCTGACCTTCATCTAGCTGCTGCTGCTGTCCTCTTCTCAGTGACAAGCTGCTGAGCTGGCAGAGAAGATGCCATGCCTGCTAATCCTGTCCAGACAGTCCCCTCAGCCAAATACTTGTGCTGATTTGTTGATGCAGTTCCCCAACATGGCTACAGCTCCCACATCTCCTAAGGCAGAACACACGTGGGGTTTTTTTCTTCTTCAAAAGGCTGGAAATTTGCCTATAGAAGCTGCTAGTGTTGAGCTGGACGGTCACAGCAATAAAGAGACTTGAGGGCTGAGTTATGTGCCTCTTTTTTGGACATTCCTGTTTCAACACATGGTTGCTGCATCTAGGCTCTGAGTTCCTTGATCCCTGCACAGATGCTCTGCTTCAGGAAAGCTCTGGCTGCTGCTGTGGCCTGCCACAGATGGTGTTATGAAGGCTGTTGATTTTAGCAGCTGTCTGCTCAACTCTGTTAAGGACAGTAGGTACGTAGCTGCTGATTTACAGATACTTTGGGTGAAGGGGAAGGCTCCTAAATTGTAATGTTTTGGAAATAGTCTCCACTGTACTTCAAATATTCAAAGAATTTCCAATAAAACTTTTATGTAAGCAACCCTTGGTGCGTTTCTCAGTGTGTACTGAGAGGTCTGGGACAGTCCCAACCTCTCCCTCTTTCTCCAGGATGGTCAGAGAGTGCAGGATGGAGCAGATTCCTACCTCCAACAGAGAGTCAAATGCACTGGTGTGCTACAGTTTGGAGTAGTCAGCAGGGATCCTGGTGAGACCACCCTCCTGGGAGAAGGATAATGAGGAGGAGAGAGCAGGGGCCTGGCTGGCCCCAAATGCAGGCATGGGGAACAAGGGGATGTGTTATCCTAGCTGAAATACTAACTTGTCTCCAAAAGAAAGGGTTAGGAAAAGGAAAAAAACCAAAACCCCCCCAAAAACCAAAACACCAGCAGAATTCCCATGGCATTATGTGCTTAAATGGAGCATGGGAATGTTGTGCTCTGATCCAAGAGCTAGAAGAGATGAGTAAGATGTGGAACAAACGAGTGTGGGTATCCCAGCAGCAAGAAATGCTGGTGGAAGAGCACACTGCTGGCAGCAGGGGGTTCCTGCCTGTCTGATGAGCAATACTAGCTTTAAGCTGGGTTAAAGTTAACCCTGTATAACACACGATCACATGTGAGGTGTTAACACCTCCCCATTAAAGGAAAGATGGTAAAAATCTATTAAATAAAAAAATGTAACAACTGTGGATTTAAGCTGCAGTCTAAAGGGTGTCTGGTGATTATGAAGAAGAGACAGTGGATAAAAGGGCAGGAATGGGAAAAAAAATAGCTAAAATGACTGCATATTTTGGAAGCTTCTACAAAGGGAAATACTCCAGCTTGGGGAACAAGGATAACTATTAAAAGCAATTCTTCATTACTCCTATCTTCAGGAGGTAACAGTGAACAAATGCACAGATACTGATCTCCCTGCATGACGTGTGTGTATTTAGGAGCAGCATTTCCTGCACTTACCCAGGCCACTGTGCAGGGTGGGGAGAGATGAGAGCAGACATTGCCCCAAAACAGCCTCAGCAGCAGCAGGTCATGGGCACAGCCCAGTGATGGACCTGCTGCTGCACTCACAGGAAGATGGAGGCTGCTGGATAATCAGCAGGTAAACAAATTAATAAATCAGACTACAAGGCCTAGATACTGAGTGTTACCTGTGAGCAGATGCCAGAAATACCTCAGTACCCACTGGTGGGGTCACTTGTTGCTACACTTGTATTACTAATTGTAGTGCTCACCTTGCCTGAGTCCCTCTAAGAGCCAAAAAACTTAATGGTGTACCCAGCAAATGAGTGTCTGCAGGAAAAGGGCATGTCCTGGGCATGGCCAGGGTAGGGTTAATGTTCACAAGGGGCCAGAGTGGGATAAACAACCCAACCAGCCCGTGGGATATTCAATCCCACACTGACATCATGCCTGCTATATAAGGCAGCACCTGTGTTCAGCCTGTGGCTTCAGCATGTGGCTGGAGCACAGACAGCACATCCTGAGTGCTGGTTTCTAGCCCTTGCTTTACACATTATTACATTAGAATAGTATTATTACTGTTGTCTCTCCTCTGTGTTGCTGTTAAACTGTCCTTCTCCCAAGCCACAGGGTTTCACCTTTTTCTCCTGATTGACATTCCCATCCCCTGGGGAGCAGCTGCAGTGTTCAGTTGCCAGCTGAGGTTAAGCCACAACAGCTAGTTAACCAGCTGTAGGTGGATGTGAGGGTGCAGTGTAGTGGCCCACCCCAAAGCCACTGGAGTTACCAAATCCCATAAGCTGAGATGAGAAGGTGCAGGGCTCTGCTGCCCCTATCACCTGGCTGCAAGACCAACCCAGCCAGCCAAACCTACCCAGCCCTGCTCAGGGAAGAGCCACACTGCAATGCTTCACCTTGGATTGAATTCTGCTCCTGCACACGAGTCTTTCTTACCCCAGGAGCTCACACAGGAAGCACTCTCCTGCCTCTCTGCATGGTTTTGGGTTGGCAGCAGTGCCAGCCTTAGTTCTGCTCCTTGCAGAGGTGCCCCAGTGGCTTCGACTCCACGGACGCTCCTGGATCTGGGATTATATTTTGATTTTTATTGAAATACAAAAAAAAAAAAAAAAGTGCAAACTGTGAAATATACCATGGGTGCAGAGGAGAAGGAAATAAACAAAGTGAACTGTGAAAAACTCACCCCTGCACCTGATGAACAGCAACAGAAAGGAAGGCAGGGAACGCCGGCAACAGAAGCAAAGCCAACGATTCTGCACAGGAGCCCCAGGGCACAAAAGAGGAGACAGGGACCAAAAGGGTCCTCAGCTCTCCCTCCAATTAACCAACGTTGCCACAAGGCATCCAGATGGCCCCAGCCCCACCCAAAAGATGTGTCAGCACAAAGCTTGGGCCAGGGAGTGAGCAGAGGCCATTAAGAAATGAAGGGAGCAGGAGCCTGAGCAGAGGGGAAGGGTCTAGGTCCTAAAAAGCAGAGGGTTGAAGTGGAACAAGTGCCTCCACAGGGAGAAATGGCTAAGAGCTAACCTGAAAGATAAGCCAAGGAAGAGACCCTTGGGCAGCTCTACAACAAGAAAACAAAAGACCAGCACCTGAATCAGACACTGCCCCCACCTATAAGTGGCAGAGGAACCCAGCCCAGCCAGCCCCTGCCTGTGTGAGGAGGGGATTGAAGCCCCAGGCCAGTTCCTTGCACAAGTCACAGGAGGGATATTTCAATACAAGGCATTCAGGAGAGCAGGCAGCAGAAGGAAAAGCAACCCTGGATACTGTGCCTGCTCCAGGGCTCCAGCAGCTCCAGCATTGAGGAGCAGCAGAGGAAAGGGTTTATTTACACTGGGTCCCTTCCAGGACTTTCAAGCACTTTCCCACCATGAGCAGTAGCAGCACCTTCCAAATCTGCTCCCTGCAGGCACTGAACTGGAGCAGGCTTTTATCCCTGCCTGCAGGGGATGCACCAGTCTCCATTTTGCTAAAAAAAGGAAACTATTTCAAAAATTCACTAAAAAAAAAAAACCCAAACTAAAAAAAAAAACCACCCAAAAAAACCCAAACACCCGAAACCCAAGCAAAAAAAGCACCCACTGAACAAACTCCAGGATGTTTGCAGCAATCTCTGCTCTTGCCCTGGGAAAACTTCCTCTAGCAGAGACTGTAGGTGAACCAGGACCACCTCCAAAACATGACTGCTGTCAACTGTTCAGGCTGAGACAATTCACATCCTGGCCAAAAAGGGAAGACTCCTACTCTTGGAAGAGTGAGACTAAGCAGCCTTGTAGCCTTCACAGGGGAAAGCCCCCCAGGATCTCAAAGGGAACAGACCCAACCCTCTCCTAGAACAGCTCCTGCTCCAGTCTTGGCAGTGCTTGGTTTCTTGCTCACCGTGTTGGTGTGGCTCCTCCCAGCCAGCTGGCTGCACCTGCACTGCCCCACAGAGCTGCTCCTGCCCATCTCCATCCCAGAACTCAGCAAGAAGAGCCAGGTCTCTAACTCCTGCAGCAGATGCCACCTCTCCTGGTGACAGCTGGGGCACCCACCTTTGGTCAGTGTTTAAAGGCAGGCTAAAATATTATAAAAAAGCAAACTCTTAACATCCAGTAAAAATCAGTTCTGCTTGGTCCAGAAGATTTGTCCCTGTTGCTGGATACAGGAGGAAGGACTGGCCCAGGCACACAGGGCACAAGGTATAGACACAACACACCAGTGAAGTAAGGCTAGGAGCTCCCTGCAAACACCCTGCCAGGCCCAGGCAGAGGAGAAGACACCTCTTGTAGCTCAGGTAACAGGAATGCTGCAACCCAAACCCAGCAGTGATGGCCTAACAGTGTTGCAGCTGCTTTGGGAAGGTGCCAGGCCCACCCTGCTCTGAGCCTGCCTTGTGGACAACTCCACCTCTCCAGCCATGCAGGAGGGACCTGCCCAGGCTCCCACAGCAGGATGGAAGGAAGGTGTGAACCAGAGAGGAGAAGGGGCAAAGGCCCTTGGCACACAACAGCTGTTCCCTCACAGCTTTGGCACATGAGTACTCAGCACCTGGGCAGAAACTCATAGCCCAGGGCTCGTGCACTCCAGGGGGAGGGTCCCTAGAGCTCCCCTCAAGGCCACACTCTCTGTTACACCGTGCTGGGGCAAGTTCTGCTCCAAGACAATTAGCCAAGGCCAGTCAGCACAGACACACGTGCCTGGTGGAGGAGGAGAAGCCTTGTGCTGCTGCTAGAGAGAAAGGCAGTGACCCTGCTTGTGCCCAGCAGTCCAGTGCCACCAGGGCACTTGCTCCCTGCCATTCAGGCTCACCTGCTGTCCAAGGGCCCCAGCCAGCCCCCTGCCACAGCCAGCTCTGGCATCAACCTGCCCAGGCAGGCTGAAGATGCTGCTGGAGGCACAAACACACCCGAGCTGGGTGACTGTGGGAGGCACCTCAGCCACTGCACCCCAGCAAACACTGAACTCCAGCCAGAGTGGGTGACCCCTGGGGGGGGGGTTTGGGCTAAATTCAGCTTCTTTGTACTGGAGCCCACATGCCATCAGCCTGTCCTTCACTTGCCTGCCAAAAGCACGGGGTCTAGAGAGGTGCTGGCAAGTGCAGGAGGTGCTGCTATGTGAGCAGCAGGGCTGCCTGGCTCCCTCCCCTGCTTTAGGTGCCTCCAGGGGAAGGTAGGAGGCACACTCAGATGGCACTTGCAGCAAGGACATCTCTGCCACAAAACCCAGCAGGCCTGCCCTAGCCCAGACAGCCCAGCTGAGGCAAGGGGGCGAGCTGGGGCTATTGGGAGCTTAAACCAAAAGGATCTTTGCTGAGGAAAGGACCAGGAGGGCAGAAAAACTGCACGTGAGGGAAGGAGGAAAGGTAGACAGGTCATCTGATAGGGCAGCAGAGTGGTGATGAGCCCTGGAGGAGCTGCACAGACTGGCAGGTGGGTTGGGACTGCACTCCCAGCAGCTGGGAGACCAGCTCTCCTCCCCATCCAGAACAGCAGGTCTCCTGCTCACTTACTTACACACTTCCTCCACCATCTCCACAGCTCTCACTCTGCTCATCACCCAGAGGGTCAATGGTCCCTTTGCATTGGAGACAGCTTGGCCACAGCTCCAAGACAAGGTGGGAAAGAAGGTGGGAGGGTGGGCACAGTGTGCTGGTGTGGCCTGGCCTGGATTCAGGCCTCCACATCCTCAAAGAGCTCCTTCTGGTGGTCCAGCAAGAACTTGGTAAAGGTATTGATGGGGTTGATGGCTTTTAGAGTGATGGCTACATCTTTGGCCCACAGCAGATTTGGGCCAAACACAACGGCCAGGTTGGTGTTTGTCATCTTGTTCCTGTCACTGTGAGCAGAGACCTACGTGGGAAGAAAAGAGACCACTGTGAATCCTACAGAACAACACAGCAGCTGCCCTCCACCCTGCCCAAAGCCAGAGCTGACATTTTTCAAGGGCAAATGGGAAGAGGGAAGCTGAAAGCCCAGTGCCAGAAGACAGCTGGGAGAAACACACATGACATCCAGCACTCAGAAGATGAGGAGCAGCATCTTGCCATTTGCCACTGTGGCTTAACCACCAGGCCATATCAAAACAATAGGAGCAAGAGCATTGTCAGGCAATACCTCTGCAGTCCAGATCACCACTTAAAAGAAGGTGATCTTCCCTCTTGCTGGAATAGCTTTGCAGTGGCTTCCCTGGTAGCAGAAAGTTCTGTAGGGCAGATCTGAGACCCCTCTTCTAGTCCAATCTTCTACTCAGGTATTTTGCAGTTGTGCCTCCATCCTGGGGAGCTGTCAGCCTCCCTCATACAGGCCACACAGGTGTAATGCCCACCTGCACCTCTAGTGTTATGAGCAGCAACTGCTTAGCTAATGCATCATCATTCCTGATCTCTCTCTAATAATACCCTAAGGTAATGAAAGGCAAGTTTCTAGCTTGAGACACTTTTCCTTTCAAAGGAAAAGGAGAGAGCAGGAAGTTCAAAAGCTGATGCAAGGCACTGACAACTGAACCCACCTTTGGAGGCACTCACCTGCACCAGAAAGGCTGTCAGTACGTGGAGCACTTGGTAGTTCTCTTCTGGGAGAGTCTGGAGTGTTTTACGAACAACGTCCACACGATTCACCTCCTCCACACCTGAACAGCAAGAGATGGGAGGAGCAGATCCATGAGGAATCCTCAGTACTCACCCTGATGAAAGCCCTGGGTGCAGTCAGAGGGTATCCCATGCAGGGCTGCCTCCCACCCCCAAAGACAGCCATCTTTGCCCTTGGCCAGTGTGACAGTCAGGGAACAGCACACTCTTGTTACAACTCACTCTGGAAGCTGACAACGTGGCTGTAGAGGCCAAAAGTGAGGAGGGGCTCGGGGAGCTCCCTCAAGAAGGTCTTGAGAATCACAGCAGGGAGGTGGACATCTTCATACTGCTGGAAATCTACAGGCACACCTGAGAAAATAGAGCAGAGACTCAGTGCTCACTGGCCAAAGCAGGACCTCCTCCAGACAAAGAATGGGACAAGGTGGTCAGAGCCCAGAACTAGGGAGGCAGTATTTTAAAGAACACTGAGAGGGTTCTGAAGCACCACATCTACCAGAGTGGAAAAATGGGTCCCAAAAGCATATGCAAGACACTACTGAATCCAGCACTACATCTTTGCATCAAGTCCTCAAATGAAACAGATGATCCCACCCTGAGAAACAGGGAAATTTTCAGGAAGGAAAAGAGCAGTGAGGGGAACACCAGTGGGAAGGAACACTGCACACAGAAGTATCAGACCCTTGTCCTTTGCAAGGCAGGTCGTACCCTGACAGGCCTTCACCTAGAGGCCTGAGAGAAGGAGAGGAGCTGTGATGGACTAGTTCCAACAGAGCTCCAGTTGGACAATAGCAGTCAGAGACTGAGAGTGGCTCTGCTGAGTCTGGGCACTTACCCATGTTGTACTTCTGCTGGACCTCCCTGACAACCTGTGTGTTTGCTGACCTCCGGAAAATCCCCTCTGTAGTAAGAGCTGGGAAGTGAGAGCAGAGGAAGAAGAAAGATCAGCCATCTGAGAGTCTCTAAAAGTGCTGCTCTTAACCATAAACCTGTGTCGTGGTTTTATCTTGTGGGGTGTTCAGACAGATGTCAACAAGTCCCTTTTTTAGAGCATGGCTGTTCTTTTTTGCTTCCACTATCAGGTAAAGAACACAAGGAGCATTTTGTTACTCTTATACAAGTGGGAGGATGGATGACTGGAGGAATGAGTTCTAAGCCCTGCACAAACTCTCTTGAAGGCTAACTCACCTAGTTCAGGCCTTTACACCTTATTCTGCTGTTGTTCTTCATCTTCCTACGTATCAGAAGGGAATTTGGGTGGAGGAGAGGCCATTGACATGGAATTAAGAGGGGTTGGACCTTCCCTGACCACTTACCATGCTCCTGCAAATGAGCAATGGTGTCTCTGACCACCAGAGGAACAGCAGACTGATCAGGGCTCTTCTCCCTGAGACTGTGGGAAGAAACAAAAAGGTTACAAATGACAAGTCCTCCCTGCCCTGCATGCTGCCCCTGAGTCTTGAAGTTGCCCACACAAGCTCTACCACACAGAATCTTGGTATTCCAGCCTCTAGTTCAGCCATTATTCCAGCCTTCTCTCCTCTTCACCCAATGCTACATCATTCACTGGAGCACTTGCTCATTACTGTACCATGGGAATATATCTTCTGTAAATTCAGAGCCTGTAGAGGCCAGGGCAAAGGGGCTCCCAGAAGGCAAGGCTGCTAATTATAAATCAGGTAAAAAGTGTTAAGCTTTCTTCTTCCTCCCCAGCATGATCTGGTGAAAGAAGCTGAGATGTGACAGAGGTGTGTATATATCTATATATCTATAGATATTCAGGATAAGTTTACCCTATAAACTCCCTGTTACAAGATATATCAACCCCATGGCTGCCAGGGAAGACCTGGTGATGCCAAGGTGTTTGCTGCCACTCTCCCATTCCATTATCTATACCACTTGATAGCATGGAGCTGCCCACCCCCCTCAGGCTACTGACAAGCTCAGGCACACCCCAAAAGTTTACATATGGAAATGTTGTGTTGAAGCTAGGGAATGTGTTCCCAGATTTCTTCAGAGGATCTGTCTGGCCACACAGTACTGGCTCCTCCTCATTCCCCAGGGAGGCAGAAATCACACTCAAAGTTAAAAATACCTTCAGCACTTAGCCAGTGTCACTAACCCTTGCCAGTGTCTGTGGTTGCCTGTGTCACCATGCAGGAATGGGGGGGTGGGAATCAGAACAAGGGTAAATAGAAAGCTTCTAAAATAGAATTTATGATATGGGAAAAACTAAGGAACAACATCTGCAGTACTCCTCAGTCAAAACAGCACAGTCCTAAAGACATCTCCATCAGCCTCCTACAGACCTCCTTTGCTTCAAGGAAAACTCCAGTGGCATAAAGCCATCCCCATGGCTCCCTTAATTTGTTCCTTCCTTAGTGACCCTTAGCTGCAGAAACAATCTCATACTCATTCAGACACAGTCTAGCCAGGGAATCAAGAGGGTGGAACTGAACTGAGTCAGTCAGGATCCAGATGTGAGTGCAGAGTTCCTCAGAAGAATGGTTAAAGCCTTGTAAGAAGTCTGAACTGCAAGAATTTCTACAGCTCCTTTTGCTGCTGTTTGGTTACAAACACAGTGACCTCATATCAAGCACGTCAGGGCAAGAGCAACACGAATCCAGAGATACTCACTGCTGGAGGGAGACTCCAAACTGCTGGTTTGGCAGTGGTGGGCGTGGGGGTGTTGGCTTCTGGGGCACTTGTGAAGGTTTCTGCAGGGATCTCAAATATTCGTCGTATCTGTGCCAAAACACAGACTAATAAAAAGCTAATTCCACCTCTCAGAAAGAGCATGAACTCAGCACTTGACCCAGCACGTGACCCACTGCACACCCACTGGTAACAGCTCCAGCCTAGCATGGTTGATTCCACCTATGCAAAAACAGGACAGGCAGCTCTAGAGCACAGGGGCAACTAGAACAAACATCTGCCAGAAAAAAACACAGAAAGAAGGGCACTGGAATTGGGAGCTGGAGTAGCTGAGGATGAACAAGAGCACAGGCAGGAGGCCAGGACAGCACTGCTTGTGATGAGACTGTTGTGTGTGTGTGTGTGTGAGGGACAGGGAATCCATCTGGTAGGACTGAGATTGTGGCAATTTTGGGAAGACCCAAAGACAAGCTGAACTGTGCAGAGTGAGCAAAGCCCAGATGCAGCAGATACACACCATGAGCTCCAGGTCAGTGTTAAGGTCAGCAGCTTGCAGAAAGCCCCTGAGGGATGAGTGGGAGAGGCCGGATGGATGCTCCACTGGAGGAGGATTTTTAACTCAAGGACAGAACTGGGCACTGGGGCCAAGAACAGGAAGAAGCACAGAGAGAAACAATAGTCTTTAATGCAATTTGTCACCACTCCCTCCAAAACCACTGCCAGAGTGTAACAACCTCTTCCTCCCCTTGCTATTCCTCCAGAAAAGTCCCCTCTCACAGAGCCCTAAGCAAATGGGAGACAGGCAGCACTCTCACTTTAGCACTTGGCTTGGGATCCCCAGCTGCTCCAGCTTCACATACTCCTCCAGCTCACTAAGGAAGTTCACATAAAAAATCTTTCGTCCAAACTTAAAGCTGAAAAACAAGAGAAAAGTAAGTATGTGAGAAATCAGGAAATCCAGGATCAGAACAGACTTCTTCCAGGCAGGAAGAGGCCTGCAAGAGACATCAGTGGGACAAAGAGGCAGGTATGGCTAAGCAGCAGAGAGGTCACCCACATAGCTTTCCAATTCCCCCTATTTTACCAGGAGATACACCAAGACTTTTCAAGTCACATTAGAAGCCCTAGAAGCAGCAGGATCCCTAAAACACTGGATTTCTCCTTCCAAAGTTCAGCAGTAGGCTGGAGAGAAAGCTTTCAATTATTTTAGAGAGTTAGGATTTCAGCATCAACACAATGAATTAAATATAATTTAGACTGGTTTTCTCATTTCCCCTTTCATTATTAGCAGACCTGCAACACTTACACTGGACTGGATAGAAAGGGAGCAGCACAGAGCTGCAAGCTCTGTAGGTTCCCAAAGCAATACTTCTTGCATCTGAGTATTTCTGAGCTCAGAAAGAGGAGGAGATAACATAGGGTGAGAGACTCCAGGGGAGGTTTGGCAGCCTGGGCTCATCTTGTGCCCCACAGAGGACGTCCAGTTATTCCCCTGCAGCCTGAGGATGGGGGTGAGTCTCCTGCAGTGCTTCCTACCTGATCAGAGGCTTGAAGAGAATCAACAGGGTCTTGATAAACATGGTCGGGTGCACAATATACAAGGCTTTGATGTTCTTCTTGTACCTGCCAAGACAAGCTGTGTAAGGATGAGCTGCACTTTAAGCAGAGGAATCTACCTTTCCACAAGATTCAGGCACTCTGGTGCTCCATTCCTTTTGCACTGAGCCTCACTCCTCCCCAGCACCCACAGCCTCTGCTCTCTCATGCTCTCTAGCTGTGTCAGGCCACTCAGCAGCCTGAGAGCACGCTCCACTGTGTCCCAAGAATCACCAAGAGGCCTGGCTGGGAAGCAGCAGTTACACCACAGGGCTGACACACTTGCACTGCCTCCTGGTTTTACTGCTTGCTTGGTGGCCTAAAGGATTTAACTACAGAAGGAGCTGTTGATCCCAGAGTTCAGCCTGCATGAAAAAACTACCCACCTCCATAAGCAGCAGGAGTAAGCCACAGTAAATGATGATCACGGGGGGCCTGGGGGGGACCTTCTCTGTCAGGTTACAGGACAAGCAGAGGCCCTGCTGGCTGCAGCCTTACTCACTTGCGATCGAACTCCCTGTAGGCATCCCTCAGCCAGCTCAGGGATGGCTTGTTCTCACTGGTGAGGCCATGGTGCAGGTACACCAGTGTGTAGTCACTCTCCACATACTGGTCCAGGGTGAATTTCAGGTACCTGAGAAGAGAAAAGTGCTGAACTCGCTTCATGCTCTGCCACAGAGAGGCTCTTTCTTCCAGCTTGGTGGATTTGCAGCACCCCACAATGGAGGTAGGCACTTTGGGAGGACAAGTCCAGCTAAAGAAGCTACTGCCAATAGATCCTGCCCCCAGGAATTATGGCAGGCTTAAGAAGTTCACAGCAGCCTCTTAAGACAGTACTCACCCCAGGAGTTTCACATGATCAAGCTGATGGCTCGGGGGCATCCGGCAGGCACTGAACAAAATGACTTTCCTTCCATATTTATCATCACCTGCAGATGAAATGCCAGAGATTACAGGGAGTTTAAGGACAATGTTGTGGTCTTGGCAGCAAGGGGTAAACAGAGCATGGAAAACTGCCATGAGAAGGCAGAAGTCTGGATTGCCACAGCTGCCAGCAAAGCTAAACCTGATTTTCAGCAGTTACCACAGGCCTGGTATGGAAGCAAAACCTGAACACCAAGAGCATGGCAGGTCAACAATGCAAATGGTGAGTAGAATCTATGCTCCAGCCCTGGAAGAACAAGGACTGGAAGCCAGGATGCCTCAAGGCATGGAGGCCTCAGGTACAGAGCAGAGTGCTCAGAGCATTAACCCTGCAATGCTGTCCCTGGGCACTGCTGCTGGTGCAGGTATTCCCAGGAAGGCACAGGGAAAGGTGCCCCTCACGAGCACCATAACCACTCCTTCTGTCCTGCTCACAGTCCACACTAACTGCTTGTGGTCTGGTGCATTGGTTTCACCTGAAGCTTAGTCCTGCACACAGAACAAAGCTATTTCATACCCTAGAAACCAAGACATTTCCAGAAACAGGGCAGACCCAGCCACATCCAAGAGAGGAGAAGCAAGCACCCTCAAAAGCTTCTTCCACAGGAACCAAGGAGGCTACTGGATTCTCTAGGGGGACTGCAGAATTAGCTGCTTCCTAGATTTTCCATCCACAGAGATATCTTTACAATCTGAGCAGGAAGGAGCTGCAAAGTTCAGCACAACAAAGTGTTCTATGTAAAAACCCAGCAGAAAACAGTCCCCATCACACTGGAGCCAAATAACCCAACAAAGCACTCTCATCTCAAGGAGGACACTCCCAGCCACCACTTGAGGCTTCAGAGACAACAAGCCAAGTTTTCCCCAAAGCAAGTCTTCATATGTCAGTGGTCTCCTGCCAGCAGAGATCTCAGCCCCACGAACAAAACCCAGGCAGATGGGCATGGACAAGCTCAGCAGACAATGCTAGAGCAACTGAGATATTTAGGTAAGTAAGAACCAGGTCACAAAGCTTTTGGCCACAGAGTTTGAGGGAAAGCCTGGTTCTCTCCCAGACACAACACCCAATCCATTTCCATAAGGATGTTTTGCTTTTTAGCACCACTGGAGATGAAATGGTTCCTTTAGTGTGAAGGGTTAAAGTCTCCCCATCTTTCTGGCTACTTACCCTTCTCCAAGAGCTACATTTTCTTGTCAAACAGAAGGAGCATGGAGCAGTGGAAGGGGCTACTGAGATTATACTCAACAACACCTTCCTTTCCCCTATATGGCACAACCATCTCACACAGCCCAAAGCACAGAAAAGCACCAAGGATCACAACTTCTGCAGGTCAGCCCTCCAATACATCATTCCTCTTAAAATACACCCTTTTCCCTACACTTAT